ATTATGTGGTACAAAGGATCCTAAAATTCCATTCCAATTCTTTTCACTTTGTGAAAAATGGTCACACCAAGAAACACTTGACCAGTATATTCTTTTTGTATAACAAATTCTCTTCTCAAAGTTTTTTTTCTGAGAGAAATAAAAATAATTTTACTTGCCGTTGGGTTATTTGAGTTCCTTCTAATAACATTTTTCCTTTAAGTACACTTTTTGACTTACCTGATTGCAGTGTTGATTGCAACACTTAGTGTCAGTAGTGTCCCATCTAAAATAAGCTTTGCTGTTACTGCTAAAGAAGATCTGATAAATATCCTTCTAAGAGTCGTGCATATGGGAATGCAAGCTGGTGCAGCCACTCTGGAAAACATGGAGGTTCCTCAAAAAACTAAAAATAGAAAAAAAACAAAAACAAAAAACTAGAACTACCCTATGGCCCAGCAATTGCACTGCCAGGCATTTATCCAAGGCATACAGGTGTACTGTTTCGAAGGGACACGTGCACCCCCATGTTTATAGCAGCACTATCAACAATAGCCAAAGTATGGAAAGACCCAAATGTCCATCGATGGATGAATGGAGAAAGAAAATGTGGTGTGTGTGTGTGTGTGTGTGTGTGTGTGTGTGTATATATAAAATGTGTATATATATACACATATATATACACATTATATATATATACACACATATATATACACATGTATATATATAATGTGTATATATATATATAATGTGTATATATATATATAATGGAGTATTATTTGGCAATCAAAAAGAATGAAATCTTGCCATTTGCAACTACGTGGATGGAACTGGAGGGTATTATGCTAAGTGAAATTAGAGAAAGACAAATATCATATGACTTCACTCATATGAGGACTTGAAGAGACAAAACAGCTGAACATAAGGGAAGGGAAACAAAAATAATATAAAAACAGGGAGGGGGACAGAAAAGAAGAGACTCATAAATATGGAGAACAAACAGGGTTAGGGGAGGGATGGTGGGGGGGGGATGGGCTAAATGGGTAAGGGGCACTAAGGAATCTATTCCTGAAATCATTGTTGCACTATATGCTAACTAATTTGGATGTAAATTTAAAAACATAAAATTAAAAATTTTTTAAAGAGTACTATAGATAAAAAGAGTCATGCATGATAATATTGACAATGGAAAGCAAACATGAATTGATTTTTTAAAATTTTATTGATTTAAGTAACCTCTACATCCAGTGTGGACCTTGAATTCATAACCCCAAGATTGGGAGTTGCATTCTCCCTGAACTGAGCCCCCCAAGTGCCCCCATGAATTGATATTTTAATTAGAATTTTGTTTTGCGTATGTTTTGGATTAAGAAAGAGATGTGGTCAGTTAATGATTCTATTCTATTGTTTTATTGCAAACAAGACTGAGAAAGGGAACAAGTATTTCCACACTGGATTCTTCTTGAATGAATTCAAGCAAAGTTTCATCAAAATGAAAAACTGCCAAGTAGCTTTGCATTTGGTAAAGGTGTGAGATTGCACCCACAGAGGTGCTGATTTGCTCCTCCTCCAGAAGGACCAGCCCTTTAAATGTGCAGTGCTGGCCTCAGGGGGAGTGTCTGCACATGTCTGTTAAGTCCCAGGGACTTGAGGGGTTTTATCAGAAGCTTATGCTAAACACTATTTTTTCCCACCAGATTCTAGGTAGAGAAACTATGTCATCCAGTGTAGATGACTAGGTCATTTCTGAAAAATTTTTAAAAATATTTATTTTTGAAAGAGAGAGAACATGAGTTGTAGAGGAGCAGAGAGAGGGAGACACAGAATATGAAGCAGGCTCCAGGCTCCGAGCTGTTGGCACAGAGCCCGACACAGGGCTCGAACCCACGAACCATAAGGTCATGATCTGAGCCAAAGTCAGATACTTAAACCGACTGAGCCACCCAGGCGCCCCATAGATCCTTTCTAACTCACAGTCCACAAGCCTAACATTGTGAGCCAGCTCCCAGCTGTGCAGCTCTTCTCGACATTTCCTTCCGTGAAGAACCCTGTGTTCTCGTGTTTGCCCTGTAGTGTTCTTGACACTTGTGACTTGCCAGAATCTTTATCCTACCTTGCAGCTCTGTTTTTGGTGGGTGCCTTTATCTCCTCAGGCCTCAAGGTCCTCCTCTGCAAATGAGGGATAGGATCTATGACCTGTTCCAACCTCTTCTTCCATCTCTAGAATATTCAATACATTAAGAGAAGGACTGAGTTAAGAACCAATGCCTTTAAAGAAACTGGGAAGTTTCTCTCATCTGAGGGCTAAGGGGCACTTGGCAATCACTTATTGTTGTCTCAAAATTTTGTGAACTTTCCTTAAACATACACTTATGTTCTAGCCTTTCTTCTAGCTATTGACTCCAGAGAAATAAAAACATATCCAAAGACTTACATATGAATCTTTATGTTAATATTATCTATTCACTTTTTTATTGAAGTACAGTTAACACAACTACATTACTTTCAGTTGTACAACAGTGATTCAACAAGTCTGTACGTCAGTGCTGTGCTCACCCCAAGTGTATCCAGCATCTGTCACCACGCCAATACAGTATGATCGACTATATTCCCTATGCTGTGCCATTTGCTCTCGTGACTTACTTCATAGCTGGAAGCCTGTGTCTCCCACTTGCCTTCATCCATTTTTTCGTCCCTCACCCTCACCTTCTGGCTACCACTCAGTTTATTCTCTGTTTTTATGGGTTTGTTTCTGCTTTTTGTTCATTTGTGTTTTAGAGTCCATATATAAGTGAAATCATACGGTATTTTTCTTTGATTTATTTCATTTAGTATAATACCCCTGAGGTCCGTCCATGTTGTCTCAAATGGCAAGATCTCATCCTTTGTTATGGTTGCATTAATATTCTATTGCGTGTATGTGAATGAGTGTGTGTGTGTGTGTGTGTGTGTGTGTGTGTGTGTGTATGTGTGCTATATCTTTACCCATTCATCTATTGGTGGACACTTGGGTTGCTTCCATGTCTTGGATATAGTAAATGTTGCAATGATAGGGTGCCTATATCTTTTCAGATTAGTGTTATTGTAGTCTTTGGGTAAATACCTCGGTGGAATTACTGGATCATGGGTATTTCCATTTTTAATTTCTTGAGGAACCTCCATACTGTCTTCCACAGTGGCTGCACCAACTTACATTCCCACCAACAGTGCACAGGGGTTCCTTTTCCTCCTCTTTCTTGCCAACACTTGTTTCTTGTGTTTTTGATTTTAGCCATTCTGAAAGTGTGAAGTGATAACATATTAGAGTTTTCGTTTGTATTTCCTTGATAAGTACTGATGTTGGACATGTTTTTCATGTGTCTGTTGGCCATCTGTATATCTTCTTTAGAAAAATGTGTATTCAGGTCCTTTGCCCATTTTAAATTGAATTATTTGGGGCAGGGGGGTTAGTGTTGAGTTGTGTAAGTTCTTTATATATTTTGGATGCTAATTCTTTATCAGATATGTCATTTGCAAATATTTTCTCCCATTCAGTATGTTATCTTTTCATTTTGTTGATGGTTTCCTTCGCTGAACTTACGCATGAATATTTACTCACAATAGCCCCAAACTGGAAACAACCTAAATGCCCATTAACAGATGAATGAATAAACAAAATGTAGTGTATCCATACAATATACTACTATTTCGCAATAAAAAGGAACAAACTACTAATACATGCAACATGAATGAATCTCATTCTACTGAATGAAAGAAGCCAGACACAAGGATACAGGCTGTATGAGTCCATTTATGTAAAATTCTAGAGAATGCAAACTATTATAGTGACAAAAAGCATTTCACTTGCTGCCTGTGGACTGCAGAAGACAAGGGCTCTTTTGGTGGTGAACGAAATGTTCTGTGCTGTGACTAGGATGGTAGTTTCATGGGTATCCACAACTGCCAACATTCATCAAATTGCACACTTTAAACGGACAGAACTTATATGTAAACCATTTCTCGAGGGTACTGAGGAAAAATTTTGTAAGCTCTTGACTGTTCAATCTGAGGCTTGAAGAGAATACTTACTGGGCAACGGAGAAGTTTTGTGGGGCTATGACATCACAAAAGGGTTAATAATCTTAAACATTCCGGAAAGCCCTTTAATTTCTGGGCAGCGCATATGAATTTGTCATGCAAAAATTTTACCTTCTGGTTTCCGGTAAGCCTCAGACAAAGGACTGCCTTGAGGACTTAGCAGGGCCCTGGGCTGGATGAGCCAGCCTGCTCTTTCTCCAGCCTCGTGCAGATTCCTGAGAGCCAGCTGGCTCAGCAAACAAAGGCCAGGTCTCCTGTCTTTTTAGCATGTCAGGCTTCTTAATACTGATTTTCCTTCCCTCCGCCTGAGGTGGTATGTGTCCACCTGGGGAGATTCCGTTCCACTTTTTTGAAACTAGAAAGCTGTAGGCCACATTCTTCCTTTATAGGCCACCTGGAGCGACCTATTTTAGTTGGCTCCACTTACAGAATCACAGGATGTGAGAAATCACAGGATGTTAGAAAGAACTTGAGAGATCGTCCTGGCCAACATCCCAAAGGAGGAAACGGAAGTCCAGAGAAGGTTAGTGACTGGCATAAGCTCACACAGCCAGGGCAGGACTATCAATTACTGTCTTCCCAGGTCTCTCTGCTTCCTTATGTTGGCTCTGACCTGCTGAGAAACTGCAGCCCAAGATCCCTGGCTGTCAAAAACTAGGTCCGAAACCCAAGATCGACTTCAGTGTGCGGTACTTTTTTTAAGAATGAAAGTTGCTGGGGCGCCTGGGTGGCTTAGTCGGTTAAGCGGCCGACTTCGGCTCAGGTCACGATCTCGCCGTCCGTGAGTTCGAGCCCCGCGTCGGGCTCTGTGCTGACAGCTCGGAGCCTGGAGCCTGCTTCAGATTCTGTGTCTCCCTCTCTCTGCCCCTCCCCCATTCATGCTCTGTCTCTCTCTGTCTCAAAAATAAATAAACGTTAAAAAAAATTAAAAAAAAAAAAAGAATGAAAGTTGCAAAATGGTTGGATTCTAGCTGGAAGAAAGGCAGCAGAGAGTTCTGACCTCCTATGAGGAAACATAAGGATCAGACCTCAGCTTGGGAATGAATGAGAGGCATTTATGATTATCGTAGAACTTGGCAGCAATTACAAAAGCCTGTTCCATGGTGGAAGCGACCGTGTTAAATTTCCGTTCTTATTTGCATTTATAAAAGTAAAATAAAAGTATTTCTGGGATAGGAACAATCTTTGTGATTGGGAAATGCCTCTTGGTCATTATTGCTCTTTTCACTCTTCATATATTTTTCCTTGATGGCTATTGAAATAGCAGATATTTTAAACAGAGAGAACATTCATCATGGCGGATTCTTGAAATTGAATCTGATTCTTCCAGTGAAGTAGCCACTGCCAGAAAGTAAATGAGACCTTTCTGGAAGCTCCACTAACAGTCCCACACGGCTCTGGTTTTAAACTAGAGTTTGGCAGGCCCAGGTCTCCGTGTCCTCAACCCTCTCCTCTCGCATCTGGCCCATCGGTGCCTGGGCAGGAGCTGGGGTACAGGCGGCTGAGGGTTCCTTGGGGATCATGCTGCTCTTTCCCAGCGGTATCCCAGCAGCACCCTCAATGCTGGTGTTGGCTTGGTGGGGGGGGGGGGGGCGCGCAGAGATGACAGCCGTGTAGGTACCAGTGGTCTTGGACATTTGCATTGATTGCTGTACTGGTGACATGTTTTGTTCTTCATGCAGATTCCCCAAAATAGAAGTTGCAGAATTTGGCAGAATGATTAGGGTGGACACTTCAGGAAGAAGACTTCGGGTTGTTAGAGAGAAGCTCCCCCACCCCCTAAGCTGAAGAAGAAGCATCCGCACACCCTGCTTCCACCTGGGGACTCCCAGATTGCCACACAATAGCACCTCCTAGAGGTGTCAGCAGTGGTGAGACCCGCCCTTCCCAGAGAGACTGTTTTCTGTGCCACTTTGTCTTGCCCTGGTGGTCACACTGTGTTGTGGCTGCAGCGAAAACCTTTTGTGTGTCAGACATGATGGGCAGCGTGGACAAGTCACACTGGTGCCCAACACCTCCCACCACTGAGCACTGTGAGGGCAGAGACTTGGTCTTCTTTGCAACCTATCTCTACCCCCTCAAGTTGAGGATACCTGTATACCCACAAGGACATACCATCAGCGTGTAGTAAATCTTGCTGAATGACAGACAAAGTGACATGTTGAGCAAGCAGATGATGAAAGTTTCTGACCTTAAATGTGGACTAATCAGATAAGTGTATTAGTGATACAAGAAATCACGGAAGACGCTGTGGGAGAAGAACTGAAACTTCTTCTAGAAAATCCATTAATGACCAGAATAGATCTCTGGCTTTTTTCATGTGCGTTAGATAACAACCATGGAGAATTGAGGTGGGTACTTTTCACTTCACCTCCTCTAATCCTGTGATTTGAAATCATTACCGTCATTGGGGCCACAGGTATTTGGGGCACCTGAACTGGCTAATTTATTTTCTCCTCCATTTTCTCTTTATTAATTATAAATGTGGTCTTTTACTTACCTAAGAACCAGGGATAGGACAGCTATTTCAAATCATCTTAATTTTTACTATTTTTTTAACTTTATTAATTTTGAGTGTGAAAGAGAGGCAGAGAGGCAGAGAGAGAATCCCAAGCAGGCTCCATGTTGTCAGCACAGAGCCCGATGTGGGGCTTGATCCTACCAACTGTGAGATCACGACCCGAGCTGAAATCACGAGTCTGATGCTCAACTGAATGAGCCACCCATGTGCCCCTCTCGTACTGTTTTTTTTTTAATTAGCATACAAGTACACTGTCGTGTCTCTTACTTTAAAGTTTACCTTTAATCCTCAGACCTATCAGTTGATTTCTTCTTTTTCACTGAAAAACTCTGAAAAAAATGGTGTCTTCGTGAATTAGCTCCACTTCTTAACTTTGCACTTGCTCTTCAGATTCCTCCATTGTGGCTTCTGCCTTTCCTGCTCCACCAAAATCGCTCTCTCCAAGCTAACCAGGAACCTCCAGCTTGCCACACCAGGGGGCATTTCTGCCTCTTCTTACTGGCACGCTCCTCACGGGACCAGCTAAGCATCCTTCTCTTGTACATGAAAGAAAATCCAACTGATTGTAGCGAGAAGAGTAAGTTTCTTGTACTATTTTTCATTTTTAAAATTTTTTTTTCAACATTTATTTATTTTTGAGACAGAGAGAGACAGAGCATGAACGGGGGAGGGGCAGAGAGACAGGGAGACACAGAATCGGAAACAGGCTCCAGTCTCTGAGCCATCAGCCCAGAGCCCGACGCGGGGCTCGAACTCACGGACCGCGAGATCGTGACCTGGCTGAAGTCGGACGCTTAACTGACTGCGCCACCCAGGCGCCCCATATTTTTCATTTTTAAAAGACTATTTTTTTTTCATGGTTATTTATTTTGAGACAGAGAGAAAGCATGAGCAGAAGACAGGCAGAGAGAGAGAGAGAGGGAGAGAGAGAATCCCAAGCAGGCTCCAGGCTCCAAGCTGCCAGCGCAGAGCCCAACGCGGAGCTCAAACTCAAGTACCGTGAGATCATGACCTGAGCTAAAATCGAGAGTCGGATGTTTAACCAACTGAGCCACCCAGCCTCCCATCTTGTACTGTTTTTTAAATAATTTTCTCCTCTCTGCTTTTTTCTACTCCCCAACGTCAGTCAGATATTGGATTAGCTGAATTAACCCTAACTATGTTTTCTGTTGTTCGTCTCTTTAGCTGTTTATTTGGCTCAACGAGTTCCTGGCCTCTAGCTTTTAAACCTTGCATTGAATTTGTCATATCACCTGTCACGGTTTTTGTTTGTGTTGTTCGTTGTTCTCAGAGTATTCCTTTTTATTGCAACACATTCTTATTTCATGGGTGTAGTATTTCACCTTTTCCCGATAGAAGTAACTTTTTCCCCCTAGTCTCTGAATTGTCTATTTCCAAGAGTTACTTTCCTTAGTTTGTTTTGGTCTCTCTCCATTGTGTGGAGATGTTCTGAAACTGTGTCTCCAATTCTAAGCAGTGTGTTCACATTCTACAGTGAAACCCTGGGGCGCTGGGGTGAGGGATGTGGGGTGGAGCAGGCTGGCTGGTGGCTTTGGGGGGACATTGACCAGTCGGAGGCCAGCTTTGTCATCTGGTGACCCTCCTCCCATCCCCACATACAGATATCAACATGGGGTGATATTTTCTCTGCAGCCTTTTAGTTCCTCTAGAGAGGGATCTTCAGATGCCTCTGGGGGCTATAGATGGCCAGCTGAGGCCCATCTCCGAACCAAGCAGGAGAAAGCAGCCAGGGGCCGCCTGGTTCTGAAGGTAGATTGTAACTTAATCCTCCAGCGTTCGGCGTCACCCTTGCCCTCCTCTTGTACTTGTGCTTAGATTCCAGACCCTCTCTGACTTGTTTATTCCAGACAATGAACCTCTAGGTTCTTGGCTGGACAGGGGGCGGGAGAAATGGGGGGCGGGGGGGGGGGAGAATCTGTCGCGCCTGTTTGAGACGTTTCGCGGCTCTCCTTTGCAGCCTCCTCCTTCATCCCCACCTTGCAGGGGAGGCGGTATCTCCACACGCCAGGCCCCTGAGCTCTCCGAACACTTGCCAGTACTCCCCGCAGACTCTCCGGCAGCTCCCTCCCCGGCTGAGTCATTACTCACCCTGCTTCTTGCAGACACTGACCTTCCTTGTCCCTAATTTTCTCTTTTGCTCTTCTTGATTGCTTCACTGTCATGGTAGGGATTTAGGAAGGAGTGTCAGTAAAAGCATGTTTCAGTCCATCATATTTAACCAGAAGTTCTTTGTCATTCTTTATATTTTTGGATGTTTTGATTCTTTAGGATTGTATTCCCACAGAACATCAGAAAATAGAAATTCTGCATTTTTCAGTGACACCCAATTTGCTCTACAAAAAGTAAAGCATGAAGGTAAGGGTTTGTTTTTGTTTTTGTTTTTGTTTTACTGTTAATATAAAATGTTGCCTCTTGCGTAATATTCCTTTTGTGACATGTGAATGAAATTATGTTCCCTTAAAGAAGGAAACATACAGGATTATTGCTGCCTTTCAGATTGTCCAGGAGCAATCTACTTCTAATCTCAGATGTTCTTGCTGCTAGATTCCTCAAATCTTTGAGGTTCTTTGTGGGAAATTTTGGTATCCTATTTTCAGGAGTATATAGCTAACATTTACGTATGTGCAAGGCACTCTTCTATTTAATCCATGTAGCCACCGAATGAAGTAGATATTACGGTCTCCATTTTACAGATGAACAGATTGAAGCATGGAGAAGTAATCTGCCCAAATCCACACAGCTCAACTAGGTGTCCTGAGTTGCAGCTGTTGACCACTGTGCCATATGCCAAGTTGCAACATCTTTGTATGTCACGAACTTGTTAAAGACCTGTCCACCTACTTCAAAGGAAACTCATGATATTTTTTTTTTAATTTTTTTTTCAACATTTATTTATTTTTGGGACAGAGACAGAGCATGAACGGGGGAGGGGCAGAGAGAGAGGGAGACACAGAATCGGAAACAGGCTCCAGGTTCTGAGCCATCAGCCCAGAGCCTGACGCGGGGCTCGAACTCACGGACCGCGAGATCGTGACCTGGCTGAAGTCGGACGCCTAACTGACTGCGCCACCCAGGCGCCCCAAGGAAACTCATGATATTAAAACACAGAGGAGTTCCTGTCTCTCCCTCTCTCTCTCCACACACACACACATCCACACACACACACACACACAGCGAATTAAAAGGAACAGAGAACTGTGTAGACCAGAAGTTTGAGATGAGTTTTTTTCCCCCCCATTGGAGCACAAAATTTGTTCTGATTTCCTGGCAACTAATGAAAACAAAAGTGAAATGTTAGATTATATGGTTCTCATTGTTTTGTAGAGCAAGCATGCAAATTATTTTGCAGAGAAAAGTTTTTGGCAACTGAATTCTAGAAGCAATTTCTAGAATTCTAATAAAAGAATTCTATATTAAGGTTTTTTAAAAATCTTTTTTATTGTGAAATGTAATACTCAGAAAAATACATTGACATAAATGTACAGCTGACTGAATTGCTGGAAAGAGAGACACCACCTCCCCCCACCCTGGTCAAGAAATAGAAGCTTCACGGCCCCAAAGAAGCTCTCCTTGCCCACAAACATGACCATTATCACAATTTTTATGACAATCATCTCTTTATTTTTTTTTTTACAGTTATACTACCTAAATAGCACACACACTGTATTTTTGCCTGTTTTTTTTTTTTTTTTTATCTTGATATGATTAGAATCACACATTATTCTTTTTGGCTTCTGTTGTTCAACTTTATGTCCGTGAGATTCATCCAAGCTGGTCTGTGTAGCTACGTTCATTTTTATCGCACTGTGGTACTTGACTGTACTTGGCTGGACGACATTTAGGACTCTCCCACAATTTGGCTACTCATTAGCTGGTGGACATTTTGGTTATTTGGGTTGTTGGCTACTATGGAGAATGCTGCTGTGAGCACTCTCATGTGTGTCTCCTGACTGAAGTGTGTGCATATATCAGCCGGGTCACAGGGCGAACATAGAGGATGTTTTTGTAGAGGATGCCTAGTAGTCTTCCCAAATGGTTGTACCATTTAAACCACTGCTAGTAATGTATGAAAGTCTTCTAAATTCTCTTTTTTTTTAAATTTTATTTAATGTTTATTTATTTTTGAGAGAGACAGAGACAGGATGTGAGTAGGTTAGGGGCAGAGAGAGAGAGGGAGACAAAGAATCCGAAGCAGGCTCCAGGCTCTGAGCTATCAGCACAGAGACCGACGTGGGGCTTGAACTCACAAGCTATGAGATCGTGACCTGAGCCGAAGTCGAACGCTTAACCAACTGAGCCACCCAAGTGCCCCCTGAAAGTTTTCTAAATTCTTGAGAACACTTGAAATTCAGTCTTTTGCATTTTAACCATTCTTGAGGGTGTAATGGTATCTTAGTGTTCTCCTTATTACTTGTGACGTAGCCTTTTTTGTGTGCTCACCTTTTGAATCTCTTCTATGAATTCACTGCCCACTCAAGCTTCATGCCCAGGTTTCTACCACATTGTCTTCTTTTCCTTATCAGTTTTTAAACAGTGATAGCTGTTACAAGTTTAATTTTTACCTGATACCAGTATATAGAAATTGTTGATACCCAAATACTAAATCTTATCAAGTAATTCTTTTTTTTTTTTTTTCAACGTTTATTTATTTTTGGGACAGAGAGAGACAGAGCATGAACGGGGGAGGGGCAGAGAGAGAGGGAGACACAGAATTGGAAACAGGCTCCAGGCTCTGAGCCATCAGCCCAGAGCCCGACGCGGGGCTCGAACTCACGGACCGCGAGATCGTGACCTGGCTGAAGTCGGAAGCTTAACCGACTGCGCCACCCAGGCGCCCCAAGTAATTCTTACTAAAACTCTTAATAGATATTTTTTTGATTTTCTACATACATAACCATAAATGTGCCCAACACTGTCATTTTCTTTCTGATCCTTCACCTTTTCTTTTTCTTGCCCAACTGCAATGTTAGTTCCCCTGATAGGGTGGTGAAAGGAAGCAGTGACAGAGGCCACCCTTGTCTTCTTCACAATCTGAAAAGGAGGCTCCATTGTCTGGTAGTGCATGAGCCCTGTTTGTCACTAGAAAAGAGAAATATTAGAGCAATGTTTATGGACTCTTCACTGCTTCAGGCTGAAAGTGATGCTTATTACTGCTTCTTTCATTTCATTGGACAGACAGGACCAGTTATGTAGCTCTCCTAACTGCACGGGTGCTAGCAAATGTAGGGAGAATCTGTAGATTACCTGGTTAGCAGAACTGTGACAGCGGATAAGGGGGGACCTACTCAAGGATGGGTGGGACATCCTCATGAGATGATATGTACATGGAAACCAGAAGGATGATGTATTCATTTCCTAGGACTGCTGTATTAAAGTACCACAGACAGGGTGTCTTAACCAAGAGAAATTTATTGTCTCACCTGTGGTCTTTAGATGTTAGAAGTCCAAAATCAAGGTGTCAGCAGGGGTAGTTCATTCTGAGGACTGTGAGGGAAGGATCTGTCCAGGCCTCTCTCCTCGCCTTGTACATGGCCATCTTTCCTGTGATGTCTCTCCACATCATCGTCCCCCTATGCATGTTCATAAATTTCCCCACTTACACAGATACCCTAGTGGACTGGGGCCCACTTTAACTTGACTGCTGCTGTAAATACCCTATCTCCACCTTCTGAGGGTTAGGCCTTCAACATATGTACTCTGAGGAGACAGATAAGTTGGTCATACTAAAAGAGAGAGGGAACAATTCTAGGAAGAGGACAGTTTGCCTAGGGCCTAAGATAAGAAACAGATTATTCATGTGGCTAGAACTCAGCAAGCCATGGGGCTGGTAGGAAGGGTCAAATCACAGCCGGCCTCGTTGGCAGTCCATAGGAAGACTTGCAATTTTATTCTAAGTGCAGTAGAAAGTAATTGGAGGTCTCTGTGGAGAGAGATGTGATCTAACCACTTTATGGTGGAGAATATTGGAAAGTGACAAGAGTGGCAATGGAAGGATCAGTTAGGAGGCCAGTGGAGTAGTTTAGTTGAGAGATGAAGGTGGTCTGGACAGAGAGTGATGACAGATGAGGGTGGTAAGGGACAGAGAAAGCAATGGAGGGAGGTCAGATATAATTTGGAGCTAGGCTTCATAGGACTTGTTGGAGAATTGGATATGGAGGGTGAGGGTAAGAAAGACAGCAAGGAGAATTTGCAGTTTCCTAATTACAGAACTGGATGAAGTGTGGAAGATGGGCAACCTGGGAAAGGTTGGGCTCAAGTTTCGACGAGATGGGGGTCAAGGGCACCATTCTGGACATGTTATATTTGAGATATGCGTGGGGCATCCAAATGAACAGACCGTTAGGCAGCTGAATACATACAGATCTGGTGTTCTGAGAAGAGGTATAGATCAGAAAAAAGAAAAACAAAAACAAAACTGGGAATCATCAAGACACATGTCATTTAGAGCCATGGGAAAGAGCACGGCTAACTAGGAAGAGAAAACAGTTATGAAGAACATCTATGAACATTTAGAAATAGGTCTGTCTTCTTATCAACCATCCATGAAAGCCAAGGTATAAAGTCATTGTACTTGTATCTAATGCAGTGACTCACTGAACCCCTAATGCTGGGGTTGGTGAGGTAATAGGTCTAGTAACCCGCCTCCTGAGGACTCAACATAATGTGATACCACAGCTGAGATAACACGAGAGAGATTTATAGTTGACATTAGAAAACCTTCCAGCAAGTGCTGGGTCACAGTAGACTTACGGTTGCACTTTATGATGGTTGTCAGGCAACAGAGTTAACATTTCAAATAGTGTGGAACTGACCCATATATCTGCCCAGAGGTGGGTCACAGAGATAGTTTTAAAAAGTAATTTTGAAAAGTAATTTTTAAAGGTGGATCTGAACCACTGAAACACTTGAACATTTACTCAGAGAAGATCCCACAGGTTTTGGTTTTTCTTTAAGCATGAAAACGATCATTTTGGCCTACAACATGGCTGGGATGTTGGTGCCAACGGGACTACGTCGACCATAGAACCATAGTATGGCTTTTGCACAATGGAATTGTGTGTGTGTGTGAGGTTTATCTTTGAGAGACAGCACACGCATGCATGTGTGCATGCTCACGTGGGAGAGGAGCAGAGTGAGGGGGAGAGAGAATCCCAAGCAAGTTCTATGTCAGCACAGAGCCCGATGCGGGGGGCAGCTTCATGAACTGTGAGATCATGACCTGAGCCGAAATCCAGAGTTGGAAGCTTAACTTACCCACCAGGCGCCCCGCATAATGTAATTTTGAAAAAGATGATGTCACGATATGCTCTTCACGGCTACGTGTGGTGAGTTTCTTCCCATCTTGTTATTCTTCTCCCAAGTCACTTAATGGTGTTAATTTATTCTTCTAGCTTAAGTATATATTTACACACTGTACCACATACACGAAAATTTAAAAATTCAGAGTAGGGCTTATTCTAAATCTTTCATAAGAAGTTTTAAGAATATAGGATTGATTCCTGCCAGACTTCGTTTTCTTTCCATTAAAAAAAAAAAAATGGTCACAAACAACATAAAGGTTTCTTGCACTTTTCCAATTTCTCATCATCATTGGTTACAGAAAACCTCTGTTGATGGAGTTCAGTGCCCTTAGGGATAAATAACTAATTGTTTGTGGTAGTAAACTATTCCAACAGAAATCAACTAGCAGGTTTAACTGATGTAAGGCTTTTCTTCAAAAACCATCATATCCATAGTCTTGCAATGACTTGATTAAAGCATTAAGATTATTTCAACATAAAGGGTCTCCAGATCAGAGAGAGAGAGAATATGCAAGGCATTTAGTGAGAG